CATTATGTAGTTCGCCATGGAAATAAAGGTAACAAAATACATGCATATAAAAAATTAATATAACCACATATATTTTCATTGAAAACGTTCCTAAGAGCAGCTCCATCATCAGTTAAATAATATATAGAAAAATATAGAATGTAAGTACAATGAACAAGATACATAGAGAGAATATAAGTACAGTCATTAGTGCAAACTGTTTCTAGTTAATTAATGTTTTAATATATTTCGTGTATATGTTGATTGTATTGTGAATATTCGAATTGTATTCACTTTTTTATATAATACTTTTATTTTATAATTTTCATAATAATTTTAAAATGCTAGTCGCCGAAATGTTTTTAAAAGAGATGTTGCTAATTTAACTGTCTTTTTATATTAGTGGTGAACATGCAATTCATACAGATCATCGATTAATTATTTAAGTACAGATTTGTTTATATTGAAGATTGGCGGGCAGCATTTGCGTCATGGCGAATCATGTCATCACACGAATTTATATCGTTCATCCTAAATAAATTACGAATTTGACATAATTTCGCTGCCAGTAAATAAGTTCTTAATAGACATAAGGCGGCTAGGAGGTGTTCAGACTACTTTTCTTACCCTATAAGGGTCAAAAATATTACTGAAACGAAATTCGGCAGCAGGTAAATTCTTACATGATTACCCTCATCCATACAGAATCACTGAGCACAAGATGAATGTTATGCGCAGACTTTGGCATTCTTTTGCGAGATTAAATCGTTTGACCTAAAAACATTATGAGTTTGACATCATTTCCATGCACGCTAAAAAATTCTTAATATGCATACTCTAATTCGTCCTTTAACGTTTCATACCCTTTTCAGGGGGAAAATTTTCAAACTGAAAAAACTGAAAAACTGAAGGCTACATCAACCTTTCCTCTCATACTTTGACCAAAGAGCAAAAGGAGCTCCTAAATCTCGGACTGAACTTCCATGTTACGTCTAAATTCAACCGTACCAAGAAACAAATTGAACTAGAACTGCTGTACGATTCATTGCTGAAACTAAAGAACAACGGCAAAATAAACATCAACCCAGTCTGTCCGTCCGTCCGTGACCTCAAGTTTTCGTCGACGAGAAAATGCGCTCTCTGTCACTCACTGCTGTGAGTACTGAGTTATATTTTTTATGTATATAAGCATCACAATAATCCCATTTATAGCTCATTACTCACGTTAAACTGGACAAGAATAAGTCTAAAGACGCCTGCTGGTACCCTAAGTGCAAATAATGGGCAATGGGAAAGCTTGGGATAAAGTATAATGCATTTTTTGGCACATTCTTCTTTTATAATAAATTTTTTATTAAATAAATCTCCTTCCACAGTTTCCAAGCTACATCATTGAGAGATATACCAATCGATTCGTAAAGAAAAGATCCAGAGAATGATCTTTAATTTTTTGTAGTTTCGTTATAGTTTGGATTATATTTTGAAAAATGGGGTGGTGTGGTGGAAATCGAAAAATTTACGAAAAATGCTCCCCCAACCACAAAAAGTAGAATTTCGAAAAAAAAAGCAAATACCAATTAATAGATATGGTCTTTACGCATCGAATGATATGCGTCTCGACGTTGTAGCATGAAAATCCTAGGAGTTATTTTTTTAAGAATTTCACGTTTTCTTTTTTCTCCGAAAAATTTACGCGAACAAAAAGTCTTAGATTTCTGTTTTACATATGTGTACCAAGTTTCAAAGTGATCCATCCGTGAATAAAAAAGTTTTTTGGGACCCTGACGCTCCTCTAATTTACATAAAGCCGCTTCGAAGTGCTCCCCTATACGTTATATACCCTTTATGGGTCAAAAATATTGATAGCTACATCAGTCTCATCCACGATTCGGCTTTTGATTACCGTCTCCTATACAGAATTACTGAGCACAAGATGAATTTTTTGCGCAAACTTTGGTATTCTTTAAAAAATTTTGAGCTGCAACATACTCTTGTGCCCGAAGTTATTCATACCCCTTCAGAAATATAATAAAATTCCAATTTTAATGAATAATGGAGATCATTTACAACTTATTCTTCTAGGAAGAGTTGTCATTATTATGTACAACAAATTTAATGCTAGAAAATATGTATATAATAACTTTCGATAGTAATTACTTTGAATTTTGTAAGTAACTAACCGTTCAGAATTATTCGTACCCTCTTATTCCAGATCATTTATCATTAATATTTAAGAAGAACAATTAATGCAAATAGTAGTAGATACTCAATAATTTTATTTCAAAATTTGGTGTTACTAAGCATTGTAATATTTTTCTCTGCAAAGTTTGAAAATATAATTTTTTCACAATGTAGGAAAAAGCTAAAATTTTGCTAAAAGTTTGAAGATGGCAAAGAAAAAAGAGCTTAGTAATGATCTCGGAAGCAAAATTATAAATTCCCGCAAAGAAGAGATGAGATATAAAGCAATATCTAAGAATTTTGATGTTCCTACGTCTACAATACAGAGCAATATAAAAAAAATCAAATCATTTATTGCGGAGGATAACATGGTTGGTCGAGGAAGGAAAGTACAAATCTCCCCTAGATGTGCTAGAAACATAATACGCTTCATTTGCAACAATTATAGGATCACTAGTAAGGAAATTCTATCAAATTTGGATGCTTTTGATATGAAGGTATCAAGACAAACATTGCAAAGAACAATGCGTTGTAACGGACTGAAGGGTTGTCGACCCAGGAAAACCCCTTTGCTAACAGAAAAGCATGTGAAAGCACGCCAGAAGTTTCCTAAAACTCCTGTCGATTCTCAAACCTCATTTTTCTCCAAGATTTTGTGGAGAGATGAGACTAAAATTGAATAATTCGGGCATATGAATGTTGCTTACGCTTGGCGAAAAAAAGGTGAGGCTCATAATCCAGAGAAAACAATCCCCACAGCTAAACATGGCGGTGGGAATCTTATCTTTTGGGGTTCATTTTCTGCCAGGGGACCTGGAAGTCTGATCAAAGTAATCGGGGTCATGTAAAAAGAACAATATTTTAATATTATCAAAAATGACATCAAGCAGGATGCAGAAAGTTTATTTCTTGGTCCTGATTGGATTCTACAGCAGGATAATAATCCGAAGCACACATAGAAAGTAGTCAAGAAGTAGTTCGAGGATTCTCACATCAATGTCATGGAATGGCCTAGTCAATCCCCATCTCAATCCAATTGAGAATTTGTAGCGCGTACTGACAATAGAGATGAAAAAGAGACAACCTAAAAATTTGAAAGAATTGGAACAGTATGCCTTGGAAGAATGGACAAAACTTAGCGTCGATACATGCAGGAAGCTTGTTGACCATTACCCAAAGCGTGTACAACAAGTTATCACGAGTAAAAAGGCCATGATATTAACTATTGATTCAGGGTACGAATAAATTTGGTCATGAGTCAGTTTTATGTTTCCTTTGAATATCTTTACAAAACTGAAAAAATAATGTTTTTTGGTATCTAAATACATGCTATATGGTTCATAAATGGTTTACATCTGCTCTAAAGTTTTAGATAATTATTTTTTGGTCTATTTCTCGTAATTTGTCGAAATGACGTTAGGGTATGAATAATTTCAGGCACAAGTGTATGCTAAATCTCATGGAATATTATCAAAATATATAATTAAAATAGTTTTGTGTGTAGTTATTGCAATAAAGCTACAAAATCTCCGAAATTAAGGTAAATATTGCGATAAAATGGGAAAAGTGTCAGTCACTGTTCTATTATTGTAACCAACTTGTAGAGATATTTTTCGTCCCATGCTGTTGAAATTCCTTTACATGATCAAGTTCCAATTTTGGTACAATGGATATATATCGAATTCTTGGAAAAATCAAACATACTTTTATTAATGAGCTTTATTGATACTGTGTAGTTTATTTCGCTGGTTCATCAAAAATCTCTTCTTATACATTGAAAGTTCTAGAAGAGTTTTCTTTGGAACTTCGGAAATGAATTGTGTCTTTTTCTATGAAGTTTATTTTCTTTTCTATTCTTTATCTCATCAACTTGAAACGAGTTGATTAACTAATGATGTCGCTTGATTAACTAATGATTTAACTACGAGTATGAACGAAAATATTTTCTTTCTACGATATTTCTTTCCGTCAGAAAACGTAGCCGCAAGTAATTTTTAAGGGAAACTATGTCATCTCATGTCTCCGACCGGCACAGCGTCATTGAGTTCAATTAAGCAAACATATTACAGAATACATTATTCAGAGACTTGTAAATGATGCAGGAATAAATATGATTGTGATTATCTTCATAATGATTGAAATACATGCCCGAATTGTAATGATGAACGAATAAATATTCGCGTTTGCCTTTGCAGGAGGTGGGTACAGTTTAGAACAAAAGAATTTAGTCTTTATTCTGTCCGAACTGCTTCATTTACAATAAATTATTTGTAATTACTCAGTGGTAAAAACGCTTTAAAATACATAATAAAACTTTTAATCAATCGATAGATATTTCCACCATTAGGTTTTTTCCATTTTCTCGAAGGGCTAATGGGTAACATTTTACCCATTGGCCGTTATTTCTGTCCTTGTTGGCGCCTTTCAATTGATATTCTCATAACCTAAATGAAAATTATGTAAATAGTGTGCCGAACAGGAAAGTAACGCTTTTGAATAAACATTATTTAATAATCAAAACAGCATTATCAAAATAGAGTCCTATAACAGGATACTGAAACACATCACGCCAGTTCACTATTTAATAAGTGTCCTAAAATCAATCCTAAGCCATCATAACAACAAATGAAGTATGTAACAAGCACATGTGCATAACATTCATGATTATATTTGTACATATTACATGCACTAGAAATAGTGAGAGGGAAGTACTCTAGCCGAAGCGATCTACACATTAACATTAATTTCTAATTCAAGTCATAATTAAATTATTATAGAAGTCTACTACTAATGTTCTAGCTACTTTTGATACATTTGCTGTTGGAACAGTTGCTATTTTACTACTGTTGCTGCTGCTGTTGTTGGTCAACAGCCAAGCTAGTGACAATTATTTGGCTGGGATTGATGACATACGACTGGCCTTGACCAACGTTAGTCAAGGCCGCTTGGCTGGCGTTAGTCAAGGTCAAGACTCTGGCTGGTCCAGCAGCTGTTTTGTGTCCAGCAGCAACAGTTGTCAACAGCTGTTTTGTTCGTGGCGACAGCGCAGACGTAGACAGCGTTATAATCTTGCCAGCGTTGCTGCTCAGTACGCTGCTTACTGCTGCTGCTCTCGTCGCCGCAGAGGTTATCCTGGAGCTGTTGACATCCGCTGCCACTGACACGGCGATGTTGCCACTGGTGTTGCCACTGAGGTTGCCCCGGGGGTTGCCACTGAGGTTGCCGCTGAGGTTGCCCCGAGGGTTGCCACTGGTGTTGCCGCGAGGGTTGCCACCGAGGTTGCCACTGAGGTTGGTTTCACATGCAAGTTTCTTAGCAACATTTCCGCCTCCTGCCGCCGGGGTTCGTACTGCGACTTTCACCGGCGTCCTTTTGACCGCCTGNGGTTGCCACTGAGGTTGCCACTGAGGTTGGTTTCACATGCAAGTTTCTTAGCAACATTTCCGCCCCCGGCCGCCGAAGTTCGTACTGCGACTGTCACCGGCGTCCTTTTGACCGATGACGAGGCTCTGATGGACGACGAGGGTCTGATGGACGACGATGAGGGTCTGATGGACGACGAGGGTCTGAAGGATGAAGGTCTAGCCCTGCAAGCCTCATCAACGCCTGCATCATCGTAAGCGTTGTCGAAAAGCTTTTTTGGTTTCTTTATCCGTCGGCCGCTGGTGGACAGAATGTCCGCTGCCTCACTGGACGGAGGCTCATCTACAGCAGGTTTTGTCCCGGGAGTTACACTAGGGGTTGAGGTTGTCGGGGGTTGAACAGAACTTGGGGGTCCGTTGCTTTTTTTCTCAGTGGTTACCATGAGGATTTTCTTCACAGTAACTTTATTGCTGGGTTTTTGGGGACTGGATTTAGAGGGTAGATGAGGGCTGGATTTAGAGGGTAGATGAGGGGTGGATTTAGAGGTTAGGTTAGGGCTGGGTTTAGAGGGGGCGCTATATCCAGTTTTTACGAGCAGGTTAGGCTTGGCTTTTGAAGGAAGATTGAGGCTGGCTTTTGAATGAACGCGAGAAACCACTTTTGCCGACTGAAATTTAGTCTTCCAAACATTTAGCGAGTTTGTTTTGGCATTTCCAGCCTCGCTTTTCAAATCGTGTATTTTCTCGTAGCCGACTGCCTTGGCACCAGGCATTAGCCCTTGCCTTTGTTCACTGGACTTAACCTCTAGACTACCACCCTCACCATTCTTGCCTAAATACTCACTATACTTACCACCTCCACCATACTTGCCATGCCCAGTTTCACCAACACCAGAAGTAGCAACCTTACCAGCCCAGGTCTTAGTACCGTTCATCATATCAGCTTTTAGCGAACCGCTCTTTTGCTGCAGCTTACTGCCCCCATCACCATGACCCATATCACCCCCATCATCATGACCCATATCACCCCCATCATCACCCTCATCATCACCCGTTGTAGCAGTCACATCATACCCCAGCACGGACGCCCCTAAGCTACTAAAGTTACTCAAGTTGAAATTAACAGCCTCCTCATCAGAGTCAGACACCGGTTCCTCGGTCCTACATTGGTCCCTGTAAGAACCACCTCCTCCGGTTCCACCGGGTTCTCCGGAAGAACTACCACCACTGGTTCTACCGGGTTCCCCAAAAGAACCACTTCCTCCAGTTCTCCCGGGTCCTCCGTAAGAAGAACCACCACCTCCGGTTCTTCCGGGTTCTCCGGAAGAAGAACCACCACCTCCTTCGGTTCTCCCAGCCTCCAATTTGATTTTTTTAGCAGGACTTGCATCGCAGGATGCGGATTCCTTGAGTTTACGTTTCTCGATGAGCGCAGACCTGATCTTGTCCCTGCGCATGCGCACGACGGGGCACGTCTTGTGCTTGTGATGCGTGTACGCCAGGACGCTGAACACGCGCTTGCCGCACGCAGGGCACGTGAACGTGCAGCAGCAGTCACGGTTGTAGTTACATCTGTAAAACAGGAGTGTTAATACAGCTGCGAATGGTATATGTCTCATTGCTGTAGCTTCAAAACTGTAGGAGGAGATAGGTTTGCAGCAACAATAAATTAATTGTTCCGTAGAGCTCGACAAAGTCCCGGGCGCCTCGAAAAATGCGTTCAAGGTGGCAAGAATGCGAGACTAGGCGATACTGGAGCTCAATTCCTGTCAAGGATGGAGGGAGCGACGACACGCAAACCCTCCCGTACGACTGAAGGCGGGTAACTGAAGCACATCGTATTTTGACCAGATATTTAAGTGTGCTACCGGGAATTTTCGCCTATCTTAAATGTGAAAGAACTCCACCACCCCCCACCCTTTCGCGATCTGTTGTGAACGCAAAAATCAACGTACAGAGATGATTTTGGTACCGTTGGATAAAGCAGAATGTCAGCTTTAAGATGAGACTAAGAACAACAGCGTTAAAACAGCACACACACAACACACATCACAGTGCCCCACCGTTCACACAAGATGTCATCGGTGGAGGTGGCGGGGGCGGTAACATTGCATCGCAGGATGCGGATTCCTTGAGTTTACGTTTCTCGATGAGCGCAGACCTGATCTTGTCCCTGCGCATGCGCACGACGGGGCACGTCTTGTGCTTGTGATGCGTGTACGCCAGGACGCTGAACACGCGCTTGCCGCACGCAGGGCACGTGAACGTGCAGCAGCAGTCACGGTTGTCGTTACATCTGCAACACGGGAATGTTAAAATACAGGTCAAATGCAGCAGTGTTAATACAGCTGCGAATGGTATATGTCTCATTGCTGTAGCTTCAAAACTGTAGGAGAAGATAGGTTTGCAGCGACAATAAAATAATTGTTCAGTGGAGCTCGACAAAGTCCCGGGCGCCTCGAAATATGAGTTCAAGGTGGCAAGAATGCAAGACTAGGCGATACTGGAGCTCAATTCCTGCCAAGGATGGTGTGAACGACGACACGCGCACCCTCCCGTACGACTGCAGGCGGGTAACTGAAGCACATCGTATGTGGACTAGCTATTTAAGTGTGCTACCGGGAATTTCCGCCTATCTTAAATGTGAAAGAACTCCACCACCCCGCACCCTTTCGCGATCTGTCGTGAACGCATAAATCAACGTACAGAGATGATTTTGGTACCGCTGGATAAAGCAGAATGTCAGCTTTAAGATGAGACTAAAAACAACAGCGTTAAAACAGCACACACACAACACACAACACAGTGCCCCACCGTTCACACAAGATGTCGTCGGTGGAGGTGGCGGTAGCGGGGGCGGTGGTGGGGGCGGTGGTGCCCACCAGCGGCGGTGGTTTGTCCTTACGCCGCCGCCTGCCCCCCGCGCCCCCCACACCGCGGGGGTCCTGCACACAGCGGGGGGCGTTAGTAAGAGTTATGGTGTCTATAATAATGCAAGATAATCATTAAATCATTCATAATACTATCTCTAAGCATGATAATAAAGATAATAACCTTGTTACAGCGCTGCTGGTGCTTGTCTAACCTCTTAAGATAATAAAGATAATAAAGATAATAACCTTGTTACAGCGCTGCTGGTGCTTGTCTAGCCTCTTAAGATAATAAAGATAATAACGATAATAACCTTGTTACAGCGCTGCTGGTGCTTGTCTAGCCTCTTAAGGCTGGAGCAGTGGAGGCCGCAGTGCTGGCAGCGGTGCTGGTGCTGGCACAGCCCCCGGGTCTTGTGGTGCTGGAAGCGTTCCTCGCTGGCAAACATCTGCATGCAGTGCTGGCAGCGGTGGTAACCTTCCGGCACCTGTAATATACATCTGCTGGCAGTGCTGGCAGCGGTGGTAACCTTCCGGCACCTGTAATGGCAGGTTATACATCTGCATCTTTCTAGTTTCTTAATGTTTTAATATATTTCGTGTATATGTTGATTGTATTGTGAATATCCGAATTGTTTTAACTTTTTTATATAATTCTTGTATTTATATAATTTTTATAATAATTTTAAGATGTTAGTCTCCGAAATGTTTTTACTTAAGATATTGCGAATTTAATTGTCTTTTTTATATTATTGGTGGACTTGCGATTAAGATACAGATTCGTTTATATTGAAGATTGGCGAGCGGCATTTGTGTCATGGCGAATCTTGTCATTACGCGAATTTAAATCGTTCATCCTAAATAAATTACGAATATTTGACATCTTCACGTTGCAAGAAATTAATTTCTTGATACACACATGGCGCCTACGAGGCCTCCAGTTTACGTTTCTTACCCTTTAAGGGTCAAAAATATAATACAAATAAAATTCGCCTTCAAGTCAATTTTTATCTGATTACTGTCATCTATACAGAATCACTGAGCACTAGATAAATGATTTGCCCAGACTTTGGTATTCTTTGGTGAGATCAAATCGTTTGACATAAAAACATTACGAGTTTGACACCATTTCCTTGCACGACAAAAAATTCTTAATGTACATTAAATATACATTCATTCTACCATTTAAAGTTCTTACTCTATCAGGGTCAAAAAAGTAAAATATCTGTACATTTATCTTCATTATACTACAGATGAATAACCATGATCGTCATCCATACAGAACCACTGAACACATCACGCAATTTTGCGCAGACTTTGGTATTCTATATAAAAAACTTTATTCGAGCTAAAACATTTGGTAAATGCACTAAATGGGTTTCCATCACAATTGGTGTTTACTCAAATTAAGAAATTCTTGTCGAAGCAATATGCTGAGGTTGTTCCCGAGCGTAATGATAGGAATGGTGTTTCTTGTTCTTTTCCTTACTTTGGCCCCGCATCTGAGACTATGGCAAAGGAAATGAAAGATCTATTCTCTAAATACCACCCGAATGTAAATCTACATGTATTACTGGTGAACAATTTTAAAATTAGATCGTTTTTCAAGTACAAAGATCCTAGCCCTGTTCTTATGCGAGCATCCCTAATTTATCAATATAGTTGTGCGCAGTGCGCATTTGCGTATGTCGGTATGACATCGCGCAATTTTTATACTAGGCTTGCAGAGCATAGGGGCAGGAGTTATAGAACAGGGAACATACTTGCGCATCCCCCATTCAGCCGTACGTATTCATGCCGAGCAGTGCAACGTCCCGGTGTCCAATAGTGACTACATTTGCGTACTACATAAAAAAAGCTACATTTGAGCTAATATCATCAAAATCTGAATCTGAAATCTGAAAATCATGAATCTGATTAATATCATCAAAATATAATAATTAAATGGTGTTGTGCGTAGTTTTTGCAATAGAGCTACGAAATTTCCAAAATTAATTTATATATTGCATTAAAATAGTAAAATGTCGGTCACTGTTCTACTGTAACCAAATTTTAATTATATTTTCGATCCTATGCTGTTGAAATTCCGATACATAATTAAGTTCTAGTTTAGTTAATGAATAAAATCAAATTCCTTATAATAAATCAAACGGACATCTATTTTCGAGCCCTGCTGATACTATATAGAATTTTGCCACTGCATCATCAGTAAATCTCTTTTTATACATTGAGAGCTCTGAATGAGCTTTCTTTGAAACTTGGAAACGAATTATGCCTATGTCTAAAAGTTATATTTTTTTATTCTCTCCCTTATTAACTTGATAAGAGTTGATTAACTGATTATTTACCTATGTCTATAAACAAGAATGTTTTCTCTATACACATATTTTCCTCCGTCAGAAAACGAACCTGCTATTCATTTTTAAGGCTAACTATATCATCTCTTGTCATCGTTCAAGCATTGCAAGAGATTTGTAAATGCTGCAGGAATAAATCGGATTGTGATTATTTTCATAGTGATTGAAATACATGCCTGAATTATAACGATGAACGATTAAATATTTGCGTTTGCCTCTGCCGGAGGTGTGTACACCGTTTAAAACAAATTAATTTAGAATTTGTAGAAGATAGAAACTAAAAGCAGCATTTAAACTGGGATTATGTTCAAAAATATACAATGATTCCAAATTCTTAGGTCTGAAACACCGGTTGTGGAGGTTAAATTCCTAAAATCACTATTGGACACCGGGACGTTGCACTGCTCGGCATGAATACGTACGGCTGAATGAGGGGGATGCGCAAGTATGTTCCCTGTTCTATAACTCCTGCTCCTATGCTCTGCAAGCTTTTATAGAAATTGCGTGATGTCATACCGACATACGCAGATGCGCATTGCGCACAACTATATTGATAAACTAGCGATGCTTGCATAAGAACAGGGATAGGATCTTTGCTTTGCACATGAAAAACGAGCTAATTTCAAAATTGTTCACCAGTAATACATGTAGATTCACATTCGGGAGGTATTTAGAGAATAGATCTTTCAATTCCTTTGCCATGGTCTCAAATGCGGGGTCAAAGTAAGGAAAAAACAATAAAAACAATTCCTATCGTTTCGCTCGGGAACAATCTCAGCATATTGCTTAGACAAGAATTTCTTAATAAGAACTCTTGGATACCAGAACTTACGACCACCGCAGAACTCTTGGATACCAGAACTTACGACCATATCGTAGAACTTTTAAATACCCTTGCAAAATGTGGCGAACTTCTCTAATTAAGTTATTCAGTAAAGAAGACAAGACTTGAAATATATTTGCGCTGTATTTCATTCTGGTCTATTGAAGTTCCATCAAGAAAATTTAATCAACTAATGAGGTGAATTTTTATTGGTATTATTATTTATTTCTTTTTATGAAGGATCCCAACGATTATTAATTAATCCTATTAACCGATGATTGTGAAGAATTTTGAATAGAAATATTAATTTAAGCTATAATAATAATCAAACATAGAATAGAATAAATATGCGTTTAATAATTACTTTATAAAGACAACACTTCCTAATACTACAGTGTCTCCGATTTTACACATGTACAATGAATTTCTCATTTTATTTCCATATTTAAAAAAATAAATTTAAATTTTTTTTAATATATGAAAAAAATTAAATTTTTAAAATTATTTATTCTGTCAATTTATACATGCATTGTCTGCAACTTTAAGCAAGTGTGCAAAATCTCAGATCGATTGGACAGTTATAAGTGTGTCAAATATCAATTATAAGATTTGTAGCAGACAAACAAACAACAAGAAGTGAAGTTAAAAAGAAGTGTTAATAATAAATAAATAATAAATAAAAATAATAATTAAATATGAGGCGTGTCTCTATCTAGCGAAAATCCTATCTATTAAATCTTCATCTAGGATCTCTAGACGATCACTAGGGGCCTAGATTTTATCATGAAAATTCAAAAATATAAAATAAATGTACGTTATTAAAAAATATATTAAATATATTTAATGTTTGACAGGGTATATTGAATATATTCTGTTATAATAGTATATATTAAATACATTTCACTATAATATTCAAATTACCAGATTAAGTATAATAAATTTTATTATATATAATTTAACATGTAATATTATTATTCACTATAATACACAATGAAGCCCTACATTCCTGAACATTCACACATTACACATTATACAGTTCACCATGGAAATTAAATAAAAATATATATAAAAATAAAATATATATAATAATATATATATTATAATTATATAATATCACATTATTATATCATAATATTATATTATAATATTATAAAATATATAAATAAATGATAAAAATTAATTTTTATATGAAAAAATGGAAATAAAAACTATAAAAAAGCAATTTAACCACACATATTTTCACTGAAAGCGTTCCAGACAGCAGCTCCATCATTTGTTAAAAAATAATATAGAGAGAAAAATATGGAATATAATCAACACAACAATCAACAGTAAAAACTGCATCTAGTTACTTAATGTTTTAATATGTTTCGTGAATATTTTTATTGTATTGTGAATATTTAAATTAAATCCACATTTTTTAAAATACTTGCATTTTAATGATTTTTCATAATACTTTTAAACTGCTGGTCTCCGAAATGTTTTTAATTAATATATTATCAATTTAACTGCCTTTTTCATATTCTTGGTGAACTTGCGATTTAAACAGATCATCGATTAATGATGTATGTACAGATTAGTTTATATTGAAGATTTGTGAGCGGCATTTGTGTCATGGCGACTCAGGTCATTACGCGAATTTAATTCATTCAACCTAAATAAATAACGAGTTTGACATCATTTCGTTGCAAGATACAATTTTTTATTGGACATAAAGCAGCCACGAAGTTTCTAGATTACGTTTCCTACCCATTAAGGGTCAAAAATATTAGGCTTTGGTCGAAAGTATTTTCAACCATAATCTAATCTGATAACCGTCATCCATCCAGAATCACTGAGCACATGATGAATGTTTGGCGCAATCTTTAGTGAGATTAAATAGTTAAACCGAAAGAAATTGTGGTGCGACATCATTTCGCTGCAATATAGGAATTTTTAATAGATATTAATCATACACTACTCTCTCCATTCACTTTCCTTACCCAATAGGGGTTAATAATTTTTTTATAGCGAATAGCACGAGATCTGTAGAATTGGAGAGTGTTACCGTTATGCATACAGAATTACTGAACACATGATGATTTTTTTGCGCAGACTTTGGTATTCTATGAAAATATTTTATTTGAGCTGAAACCTTGCTGAATCCCATGGAATATCATCAAAATATATAATTAAAATAGTATTGTGGTAGATATTCCAGTAGAGCTACGAAATGACTAAAATTAATATATAATATATTACATTAAAATAGTAAAATTGTCAGTCACTGTTCTATTGTAACCAAATTTTATAATGATATTTTCGATCCTTTGCTGTTGAAATCCCGCTACATAATTAAGTTCTAGTTTAGGTAATGGTTATAATCAAATTC